TGAACATATTTCTATGTCAAACAAAATTAAGTACCATTTTTAAATGCTTTCTGTGACTAATATTGGCCTTGTTAGGAGACAGGGGAAGGGAGACTTCACCATGTACTCTTTTCTTTGACCAAGTGAATCATCACCTACTCAAAAATTAATGGAAAATACCTATAGCAATGGAATAAATTTTTTTTCTGTCTGACTTGCTTTCCAACCCTAATTTAGCTGGTCCTCATGAACACAGGTCAGCTATAGGTCCCTTTCCCCTCACCCAAATGCCCCAAGTGTCTGAAGAGTTAAGAGAGTTGCTTGGAGCACATGTGCAGTGCAATGACTGGCTCTTCCAGGTTCATACCAGGCTTTATGAGGTGACTGGGCTGCTTACTTGCCCCCTGCAGAGTTCTCAAGCACAAAGGTTTCTGTCACTGTTCAACAAACCTGATGGGTCATGTTGTTAAGATGGAACTCATGGAAAGTCCCACCTATAATTTTAGTTCTCTGGTTCCTGCCTTACTCTGGGAGTACTGAGTTCCACCCAAACCCCTAACAAGCTGACTTAGTTAAAATAACTGTATTTATTGAGCACCTCCTATAAGACATCTGCTGTGAGCTTTACAGGTAAAAGTATTTCATTCAATCTCACCTTGTAACTTGTTATTAACATCACCTCTTTACAAGATAAGAAAACTAAAGCTTATACTACCAGATTAAACCTCAGTAATGAAACTGCTAATATTCAGGCATCTTTTTAACCAACAGAAATAGTAATTTCATAAGGTTCAATTTAATAACATGGAGAGTGAGGAGGAAGTCAGGGTTGACACTTGCTTCAAAGCCCAATCCATTAGTCATTGTTCACCACTGCCCCCACACGAAACCCACTACTCTTGGATGACACTTCCCCACTAGCGCCCGCTAAAATGTCTCCCCCTGCAAATCTGATGCAGATAAGGAACACATCCTGACCAACTACATAAGCAACTTTGACAAAATAAGTCCTGTTCTGAACTCTCTTAAAAAGAACTTTTCCATATATCACAAACTGGCTGTGTTCAAAGCAAAATCTCCTATCTAGGGTAATAACATAAACATTTTATATTTTTCAAAGTACTTTCTCATATAGTCAACTATCTGGATACAGGAAAAATCTTTTGAGGTATGATGAACAGATACATCCCCATTTTACAAAGACCAAAGACATAAAGTAACTCAATGAAGATCATGGCGAACTAGTAGGCAGCTGAGTCGAAACTAAAATCAAATTTCCCAATGTGGTTATAACACTCTTTCTGTTATTGTATACTGCATCTCAAAATCCAAGGGGGGGTAGGAGGGGGATTAGAGAGAATACAGAATATGTACAATTTAAGATACAGTACATATTTTTCAAAACATACTTACTGTTGAAATTTGCTATATAAACAAAAACACTGTAAAGAAAGTTTTAAAATTTAAGTCCCACAAATAGGGACTTACCTTCTGGTTTTGCAATGCTTAAAATCATGTTACTACAATAAGCAATGATAAAAACTCTCTGTGGATAATATTTTTCTAATTTTTCAGAAATTTAATACTCAAATATTTTTTTTGTTTTATTTAAATATTCTTTTCTTCTCAAATTCCTGATTGTTTTCCTAAAAAAATTATGAAAACACCACCAGGTAGAGGAGCACATATTAAACAGCAAAGTATCAGGAGACCTCTATTTTATCATTCATTTACTTTTACATTAATTCATTCCTATACTCAATAAACAGTTGACTATTACTAGATGCAATTACTATGCTAGGCATTTACTACCAGGAGGACTAGAATCTTTGTTTACCTTCAAGAAGTTTACAAACTACAAAGGACAATTAAAGAGAGAGCACAGCCCTGCCCAGTTTGGCTCAGCGGTTAGAGCGCCAGTCCACGGACCAGAGAGACCCGGGTTCGATTTCCACTAAGGACATGTACCTCAGTTGCAGTTTGTCCCTGGCCCTGGTTGGAGTCGTGTGAGTGGCAACCAGTCGATGTGCTCTCTCGCATTGATGTTTCTCCCTTTCCTTCCCGCTCTATCTGACGATAAGTGCAAAAATGTCCTTGAGTGAGGATAAAAATAAATAAATAAATAGCACAATACAATGTGAAAAATATTATGGGAACACCCATAAAGGATAAATAACTGCAAAATAAAGGACAAGAAGGTCTCCCCTAAAGTTGTTCTCAAGGTCACCAGAGAGAACAGAAACCATTCAGGTGAAGAGTGGGTGAAAATATGTAAGACATCAGGGAAAACATCAAAAACTAAATAAATAGAGCAATCTAGCTACCAGACAAACTCACTGCAAAGATGTAAGTTCTCCTTAAAGGAATCTATATACTCTTTCAATTTAAACTGAAATTCCAATAGCAAGTCCTGTAACTTGATTAAAATTCTCATGGAAGATCTAGAGGCAAGAGTTTGGAGAAAATTTTTAAACAAAAAGAAAATAAAGGGGATACTTTCCCTAGATTATTATCATCAGCAACTAAAGAAATTAAGATAATGTGAAAACAGTGCAGGAATCAACAGACTAACAACAACAACAACAACAAAAAGCCCCAAAACAGATACACGCATATATGAAAACAGAATATATAATAGAGGCCTTTAAAAATCAGCAGGCAGCCCTGCCAGTTTTGCTCAATGGTTAGAGCATCCGCCTGCAGTCTGGTGAAACCTGGGTTCGGTTCCCGCTAAGGGCACATACCTTGGTTGCAGTTTGTCCCCGGCCCTGGTGGGGTCATGTGGGTGGCAACCACTCGATGTGTCTCTTTCATGTCCATGTTTCTCTCTCTCTCTCTCTCCCTCCCACTCTATCTGAACAAAAAAATGGAAAAATGTCCTTGGGTGAGGATTAAAAAAAAAAAAATCAGCAGGCATACAGATTAATGGAGACTAGAGAAACAGGACAACCAAAGGCAACTTTGGATCATGTAGCAGAAAAAAAAATTATTAGTATTTTGTTTTAAAGAACAGCAATTGGAGCCCTGGCCGGTTTGGCTCAGCAGTTAGAGTGTCCGCCTGCGGTCCAGAAAGATTTTAAAAAAATAAAAAATAAAAAAATGAATAAAGGACATCAATTGGAAAACTGGCAGAATTTGAATAGGGCCTATAAATGTTAATTTTCTGATTTTGATAATTACATTGTTGTAATGTTAGAGAATGTTCTGGTTTTCAGTAAATACACAATGAATTATTTAGGAGAAAAAAGACATTATGTCTGTCACATATTCTCAAATGGTTCAGAAAAAAATATTGTGTCTGTGTGGAGGGAGGGGAAGAGGGAAAGAAAGCACACATGCAAGTGCAAGCAAAAACATTAAATATTGACATTTGATGAATCTGGGCGAAGGTATATTGGAATTCTTTGTCTTGTTTATGCAACTGGTCTGTATATCAAAAATTAATTCAGAATAAAAAGAAAAATAGGAAAAGAATGGACTGTTTATTTAATAGTATTAGACCATTTTATCCATATGGAAAAATAAAATTAGATCCCTATCTCACAGTACACATAAAAATCAATTCTAGGTATATTAAATGCCTAAATAGAAAACAAAACATAAATATAAAATATCCTTATGACTTTGGACATAAGAAAGGATTTTTAAATATGTTTTTATTGATTTTTTAGAGAGAGGAAGGGAGATATAGAAACATCGATGTAAGACAAATACATCTATCAGCTGCCTCCCATACACCCCCTACTGGGGATTGAGCCTGCAACCCAGGCATGTGCCCTGACCAGGAATCAAACCAGACCTCTCAGTCCATGGGACAACATCCAATCCACTAAGCCACACATGCCAGGGCAGGAAAGATTTCTTAAATAAAATTTTTAAAAGTACAAACAAAAACTAAGATAAAAATAAGTTCATCCTGGCTGGTTTGGCTCAGCAGTTAGAGCACTGGCCCACGGACCAGAGTCTCAGGTTTGATTCCAATCAAGGGCATGTACCTCAGTTGCAATTCAGTCCCCAGCCCTGGTCAGGGTCATGCGGAAGGCAACCAATCTGTGTGTCTCTCTCACATCAATGTATTTCTCTTTCTTTTTCTCTCTCTTTCACTCTCCCTCTTTCCCACTATATCTAAAGATAAATGGGAAAGTATCCTTGGGTAAGGATTTTAAAAAAATAAAATAAAATAAAAACAAGTTCCTGTAACAAAAATATATTAATAAACAACAAAAAGAAGTAATAATAATAAAAACAAGTTCAACAAAGACAAATGAAAAGAGCCAGACTGAAAGGTGATAGGAGTAGCATATAACAAGCAAAATGCTACCATCCAGAATATAGAAAGAATTCATCCTAAGAATCAACAAGTAAAAAACAGTTATGAATAGGACATTCACACGAGAGGAAATAGGAATGAACAATCAAAGAAATGTGAACTAAAATCACAATGACTATCCACCAGACTGACAAATATTAAGTCTGACGATACTTCGTTTGACGAGGATATAAAGAATAAAAGCTCATTCACTACTGAGGACAGAATAAACTGGTATAAATACTTTGGTGAGGAAACCAGTAATAATTACAGAGATCCAGGGATAAAGCTAGAGAAATTTATGTGAATGTTCAGAGAGAGGCAGGAACAAGAATGCTCACTAAGCATTTTTTTCTAATAGTAAACTTTTAGAAACAACCTAAACATAACATGGTATAATCAATGACTGTTGCAATTAAAATGAAAGAATCCAAGCTACAAGTATCAATCAATGCTAAAATTTTAAGAACATACTGTTTAATCAGTATATAGTTTCAGTTTTGTAAACTGAAAACGTTCCAGAGGTTGGTTGCACAACAATGTGGATACATTTAACACTACTGAACTGTATAGTTAAAGGCATTTGAGATGGTAAATTTTATGTTATACATAGGGTGTCCTAAAATAATATATACACACTTTGAATGATTATAAAGTCAGTATTTATTAACATACAGAAAAGAATCTACAGAAATAATTTTTTTGTCAACACCTGTTTTCAAACTGATGACCGTTCAGGTCCAGGCACTGCTGATAACGCGAAGCAATGGAATCACAAACATTGAGAATCATTTCGTTCCATATTGGTGCACCCTCAATCCATAAGCCGTATCTTTTATATATCCTCATAAAAAAAAAAAAGTCTAGTGGAACTTTAGGATAAATTTTCTTTGTTCAAAGCTCAGTCTGGCTTCACCTATTATTTCAAATTAAACCTGAAAAGGAATTGAAAATTAAGTGAGTTACCAGCTATTAAAGTGTGTATACATTTTATTGGGACACCCTGTATATTTTACCACAATTAAAAAGAAAAAATAAACCAAAAAAGCTTTACAGTCATGTACCACATAGAAACATTTTGGTTAACAACAGACTGTGCATATACTATGGTCCCCTAAGATTATAATGAAGCTAAATAATTCATGTGTTTGTATGATACTGGTGTAAACATACTGTGCTGCTAGTTGTATAAAAATATGGCATATAAAATTAGTGATAGGCTATATATCATTTAGGTTTGTTTAAGTACAAGCTATGTTTGCATGACAACAAATTACCTGATACATTTCTCATAACATATCCCCATAATTGGTGCATTACTGTATGTAAACAGACCTTTATACTGTTCACAAGTACATACATTTGTAGCAAAAGTACAAATCAGGATAATGATCATGTCTGGGCAAAGAGAAAGGGGCCTAGTATTTGGAAAGGGTATTGGTAGTAGCAACCTTTTCAAAGGCCTGATAGTTTCTAGTCTTCTTGGAAGTCAATCACCATATAAGTCTGACCACCCTGATAAGTACCAGGATGTGAGGAAGTCCAAACAGGGTACTAAAGTAGTGAAACCAAGGCACCTGAGCAACAGGCCCAAGCCCATCAACAGGTTAAGTGAGACCAACAGAACCATCAAGTCAACCCTGAAATTATAAGAAAGAATAAATCAATGTTTGAAGTCATTTAGTTTTGAGGTGATCTGTTACATTTAAAACAGATAATTGAAGGAGAGAACGCCAGGTGGGAAAGTAACCTGGAAAAAAAGGTTCAGCAGGGCAAAAACTTAGAGACTAATTGGCATATATTCAGGTAAACTACATCATATACTTAAAACATTATCTAGCCTGGCCAGTGTAGCTTAGTGGTTGAGCATTAACCATGCACCAAGAGGTCGCTGGTATGATTCCCAGTTAGGGCACATGCCCAGGTTGTTGGTCCAATCCCCAGTGGAGGGCATGCAGGAGGTGGCCAATCGATATTCTCTCTCATCGATGTTTCTCTCTCCCCCTTTTCCTTCCTCTCTCTCTAAAATCATTTAAAAAAATAATTAAAAAAAAAAATTAAATAAATTAAAAAAATAATAAAACATTATCTAAAGTTATTTTAAAGTACATTAATTTTATTCACTGTGTATAAGTGAAAACACAGACTTAATAACAATACATACGTATTGATCATAATTATCAAAGGTATGTCAGTATGTATCCAAAGACAACCTACAACTGATACTTTAAATTCACTGGGCTCTGTTACCTTATAAAATTACTAATACCATAATATTTTAGAATAACATAAGTCTTCGAAAAGTAAATGAAGTAATTCTGTGTAATCACTTTACTGCCCTCTATCCAGGACTATATGCACTGCTCCATTCCAGGCACCAACGGTGGAATTCCTAGCTGAATTCCTATCATGTGAACACATTCAGTCAAGAAAGAAATCTGATAGTATCATTACTCCCTACCACAGTTCTTCACTCAGAAAAAAATCTTGTCCCATAATTATTTTTTTCTCCATTTATTGATTTTAGAGAGAAAGGAAGGGAGAGGGAGAGATAGAAACATCAATGAGCAAGAACATCCATTGGCCACCTCCCACATGCCCCCCACTGGGGATCTGGCCCACAACCTGGGCGTGTGCCCTGACCAGGAACCGAACCAGCGACCTCTTGGTGCATGGGTCGCCACTCAACCACTGAGCCACACCAGCCAGGCTTGTCCCATAATTCTTAATAAGCCCATAACCCTGTGGCTATTTCAAAAACAGCAGTTACCACCCTGTAACTGCTATGTAACCGCTACTGTACATACTATCAGCAAGAATGATATCAAAAAATGTGTAGAACACATAATTAATGATATTAGATCATATGACTTACATTAAAAAAATTAGAATTGAATTATATCCTCAGATAATGTGAAATCACGTATTGTTTAAATATTTAAAATTATATTTATATAATTCACAGAAAAAAATCAGAAGATAATATTCTTCTGCTTCAATGAAGATTTAACATTTTTCTCTAAAATTAAAATTGCATGAGATTAAAAACTATTTCACCAAAATACATTTAAGTTTTAAATTTATAACTACTGCTAATATTCAATTATTAAATGAAAACACATGTTAGTATGTTTGTAGAATCCAATACTTTAAAATCTGGTATATATTCACTTCACTGAGTACTTTTTTTTACCCTTACCGGAGGACATTTTTGCATTTATCTTCAGGTAGAGAGGGAGGAAGAGAGAGAGAGAAACATCGACTTGAGAGACACATCGAGTGGTTGCCACCCAAACATCCCCAACTGGGGCCAGGGACAAACTGCAACTGAGGTACATGCCCCTAGTGAGAACCGAACCCAGGACTCTCTGGTCTGCGGGCCAACACTCTAACCGTTGAGCCAAATCGGCCAGGGCTCACTAAGTACTTTTAAATACACTTCTAAATATTGTCTTTAATCAAATCTAAGATGGCATCAACTATATGATAAACCATTATTTTATTAAATTAAAAAATACTACCAATTAAACTATATAACTATATATCCATTTCAGGTATGAAAATGTCTTAGAATTGATGAAATATGGTAGATAAAAATGTATCTGGGAAAAAAAATAAAATTCAAATCAAATGCTGTACATCTCGGCCCTGGCTGGGTAGAGCACCATCTTGATATGTCAAGGTTATGGGTTGTTAAGTTGTTGTTTTTTTTAATCCTCACCCGAGGATATTTTTCCTTTTATCATCAGATAGAGGGGGAGGGGGAGGGAGAGAGATCCATGTGAGAGACACATTGACTGGTTGCCTCCCGCACCACCCTGACCAGGGCTAGGGACCAAACCACAACCAAGGTACAGTGCCCTTGACCAGAATCAAACCCACAACTCTTTGGTCCATGGGCCGATGCTCCAACTGCTAAGCCAAACCGGCCAGGGCAAGGTTGCGGCTTTGATCCCAGGTCAGGGCACATATAAGAATCAACCAATGAAATTAAAACAAAACAAAAAGAGTCAAACAATGAATATATAAATAAGTGGAACAACAAATTGATGTCTCCCTCCCCCCTTCTTCTCTCTCTAAAAAAAAATAAAAATAAAAAAGTTGTATATCTGAAGCATCTATACTACATCTTCAAATGTATGTGGAAAAACCTCTGGACTAGAGGATTTGCAAAGTACCTCAATTCTGTGGCATGGGGGATGCATTATGTATAGGAGGATATGAATCATGCTATTAGTTACAACCAAAACCACTCTGCCCCAGCTACTCTCAAAAAACGTCTACAACTATATGAATAATTCATTTGGAAGTCTATGTGTTGTATACTAACTCAGCTAATGTTTATTTAATTAATATATTTTAACATAAAATATTTTTAGTAGTTTCACTTCGGAAAAGTATACTAAAAACAAAATTTATAAGTAAAACATTATACAAAGGATTTTACTTGAGCTATTTATTTTCTCATTATTAAATAACTTACATAGAAACAGCATTGTAAAAAAATGATGACAACACAAGAGGCACTCAATAAACACTTGGTAAATCTGTGGCAGATGCTACTTTCAATCTTTCAACAGTTATGGACCAGTCCTGTAGCATGTTTTGCAGACTGCGAACCCAAAGAAATCCTTTCCCCAAGGTCTTACACTCCAGTGAAGTGAAGACAACAATGTTAGCACAAACATTCAAATACAGTGCAATAAACTGTTGCAGAAATTTTGCTCAGATACACTATAGATATCTCACTGATCAAGGGAGAATACAGAATTTATTTAACATTCTCCAGGAACCCAGCTAATATTTATTTACTAGGAAGGGACAATTCTCTTTGAGCAAATTAGGGAATGGATGAAAATTAGTAAGCAACAATATACTCTGGTTCCTCTCTAGTATACATTTCTAGGTAAAATTAGGAGTGGCATATACTCTACAAGATGTGAGGTCTTCTGACAGAGTCCACTTAATAAGTATAACTGCTCTCTTCTAAGTCTTGTAAGCTGCACTTAGCTTCCAAAGTTAGAAAACCATATTAAAGAAAATAAGTCAATATCCCTCCAAATCACTACTTGTAAGGTAAACATTTCAGAAAATTAAAGACTTTTCAATAACTTAGGTATCTCCTCTTAGGAAATAACTACTTACATCAATACTGTTGAGTAAACCAAAATTGCTAATTTGGGTAGCTGGTGACACTAGCATGAATAACAAATAGTACACCAACCTATGCATTGTTTGTACTTTTTTTTTAATCCTCACCCAAGGCCATTTTTCCATTTTTCGTTCAGATAGAGTGGGAGGGGGGGAGAGAGAGAGAGAGAGAGAAACATCGACGTGAAAGGGCCACCCGCACAACCCAATCAGGGCCGGGGACAAACTGCAACTGAGGTGCATTAGCAGGAACTGAACCCGGGTCTCTCTGGACCGCAGGCCAACACTCTAACCGCTGAGCCAAACTGGCCAGGGCTGTTTGTACTTTTCAATAACAGCATCATTATAGTTCTTACAAAGAATAATTTGCTTAGAGTATGCCTGATATCTGGCTATACAACTTTTTTTAATGTAAGGTTAAACCTCACATCTAGGTGAAGCTTAGACTTCTCTGTCACATGGTAATCACGTAAAATAACCATAACCAGATCAATTAGAACTTACATAATGTTTTATGTAACATGATGCTTTTAAAACAAAAAGCCAACTAACTTCATACCAAAATCAAGACTTTGCATTCTAATAAAGTAGAAAGAAATAAATTTGACTTGGACATTATCAAAATGTGAAACTTTTGCATTTCGAAGAACACCAAGAAAATGAAAAACCTACAGAATGGGACTGATAAGGGACTTGCATCTAAAATATATAAAGAACTCTT